CTAACAGCAGTACAGACCAGTATATATATATATTTCATTAAAGGAGACAAGGTTCGAACGAGTCAGTTCAGTGATGAGTATGCTTATAGGAGTTGAGGAAGTTATTCTATGTATAAAGATTTTGACTCTGGATTGCATAAAAGCTGACTGGGATAGAACGGAACTTCGAGGAGTTGGTGTGCAAGGCTCGCTTTGAAGAGGCAAAGTGGAAGGAGACAAACCTTGGATGGACCATAGATACAACACTGGAAGTACCAATGAACGGTATGAACGGACACACTGGAGATGATCTCTGGCTCCTTGGCCGAGACAGGGACCGAGGGAGCGGTAGAAGGATCTGTCTCCCCCATTCATGATGCTCAACAGTTACCAGTGCTGCCACCCTTTAAAGGAGCAAAGGAGGATGCTGAAGAAGACTCTTTTGAGGAATGGGTTGACCACTTCGAGGAAATGGGAGTATGGTGTAGATGTGACGACCATAAAAAGTTAACACAGCTTCGATTGAGGCTGGAGGGTCCCGCTAGATCCTTCTACAAGTACAAGTCTTACAGTGAGTCTGAGAAGAGGAGCTATGATGCTCTGAAACCAGCTCTTGTTAAAAGATTTACCCCTGTTCGACTGACAGCAGTACAGACCAGCAGGGGAGACAATTAAAGTTCAAATGAGTCAGCTGATGACTATATATGCTTAGGAGTTGAAGTTATTATATAAAGCATATCCCCCAACCTATCGTGTGACTCCAGATGCAGAATTATTAGGCAAGAGGAGTGTTCTCTCTAATCAATCTGTTGTAGAAGGAAATTTCGAGGACTTAGTGTGTAAGGCTCACTTGAAGAGGCAAAGTGGAAGGAGACAAACCTTGGGACAGAAGAGAAACCAAGGGGAAAAGAAGCCTCCAAGGAAGCCTAGTGATGACTCTGAAGAGAAATAAAGGGGGCTACAAGTGCCATCGATGTGGCAGTACACAACACTTTATTCAGGACTGTCCATTCAGAGGATGGGGAGCAACAAAAGAAGCTAGGTCTTATTTTGTAAATGGTAGGTTCATTACATGTACTATAATCTTGTTATGTCATCACAACAAGACTATAATGTCCCACCCTATGCCTCCCCTAGCATGATTCATATTATGTTATGTCTGTGCATATGTCACTTCACGTAATAATGCATCTACGTTTGCTAAAATCTGTATAAACATTTGTTCCCTAATTAAGATTGTTTTAGAACTTGCTCTTTGTGTGTCTTGTGAATTTTAAGATTCAAATTTACTTTTAAATATTCAATTTTAAAATAAAATTCAATTTAAAATTTACAAGTTGTTTGTCCTAATGTTATCGTAAGATCATGTTAACTTGTATTCCTTTTCTTTTGATTAGGAGAGACTGATATAATCTGCCCTGCTAACTGTGATGGCCAGTCATGACCACGTCCACGGCTGCAGACCACGGCTGAACTAGAGAAACAGAAGTGGGAGGCCAGAGGAGAGGAGCTCGATGGTTAAGAGAAGAGCGAGCTGGAGGCGAAAACCTGAGCAACTGGAATACACAGTGGAGACGTTGATCTCTGGCTCCTTGGACGAGACAGGAACCGAGTGAACGGTAGAAGGATGTCTTCCCATTCATGATGCTTAACAGTTACCAGTGCTGCCGCCCTTTAAAGGAGCGAAGGAGTATGCTGAAGAAGACTCGTTTGAGGAATGGGTTGACCGCTTCAAGGAAATGGCAGTCTAATGTAGATGGGACGACCATAAAAAGCTACATGTCTAACACAGTTTCCATTGAGGCTGGAGGGCCCCAGCGCTAGATCCTTCTACAAGCCTTACAGTGATTGAGTCTGAGAAGACGAGCT